CGGGAGGTGCGGAGCCTACGGCCACTGGACCTCCCCTTGTGGCGTCTAGTGGTGCTGGGCGTGGAGTTTCTCCGGGTGTTCCGTCTTGGCGGGAGCCCCTCTCTCCACAGGAGCTGCGCGAGTGGTTTGCTCGCCGCTGGAGGCGTACTGCTGGAGCTGGAGCTTCTTTAGCCGCTAAGGGTGCTGGTGCCGCCGGTCTTGGAGCTGCTGGGCCTTCGGGTCCTACTAGAGCTGGAGCTGCTGAGGGTGTTGGTGCTGAGACTGCAGCTGTCTGTCCTGGTGGTGGTCCTGCCGCTGGAGGTGCTGTTGGCGGTGGTGCTGCCGCTGAGGGTTCTGGTGCTGTCCCTGCTGTGCATGGAGTCCTCGCGCGGCCTCGGCCGTACTTCGTTCCGCTCCTCCAGCAGGTTCTTGGTCTTCCTCCTTCTGTAGAGTGTCCGCCGTCTGTCCACTCGCCGTCACTGTTAGAGCCGGCCTCCCCACTGCCTGCTCCCTCTCCTTACACTGGTCCTACTGGAGGTCTCGCTGAGCGTCGTGAGCCTGCGTCTCGTCCCGCGTCGCCTGTTCGTGCTGCTCGCGCTAGTGGTCGCGGTTCGCGTCAGCGTCCTCCTCCTGTCCCTGGCACGCACTGGATGTCTCTCCGTCCGTCCACTACTCCTCTGCGTGCCCCTTTGCCTTCTCCTCCTGAGTCCTCTCTTCCTGCGCTTTCCGACCCGGAGTCGGACTCTCTTCGTGCTGCCAGTCCTACTGTCACGCGTCTTCTTGCTACTGTTGTCACTGACCCCTCTTTCGAGTCCACTACTGCGTCTGCTCTTGTCGCTGAGGTCGTCGACTTTGCTGTTCGCTGTCGTCTAGACTACGCTGCTAGTCTTGTTGCTGAGTCTGCGTCTGTCTGTCCTCCGTCCGTCGGGGGTGAGTGTGCTCTTGGCACGGACGTCCTTGAGGACAGGCAGGAGGAGTTCCAGTGTCTGGCTGCTGCTTCACCTCATCTCGCGTCTGTACTGCTTGCCCCTGAGGGAGACCCGAATGCACTAGACATCCCGACTCCGCGTTCTTACGCGGAGGCCGTAGAGGGTCCCTACTCCTCTCAGTGGCAGGCAGCTATGGATGCAGAGATGGCTTCCTGGAAGTCCACAGGCACCTACGTTGACGCGGTTCCCCCTCCAGGGGCGAACATCGTCTGTGGCATGTGGATCTTCAGGGTGAAGCGGCCGCCGGGCTCTCCACCTGTCTTCAAGGCGCGGTACGTCGCTCGTGGCTTCAGTCAGCGGCAGGGAGTTGACTACTTTCAAACCTTCTCTCCCACCCCGAAGATGACCACTCTTCGGGTGCTGCTACACATAGCCGCTCAGTGCGACTACGAGCTTCACTCTCTTGAATTCAGCACTGCTTTCTTGCAGGGTAGCCTGCACGAGGAGATCTGGCTGTGCCGTCCACCTGGCTTCACTGTGACTTTCCCTCCTGGCACCCAGTGGAGCCTCCGACAGCCAGTCTACGGTCTCCGCCAGGCACCGCGTGAGTGGCACGACACACTGAGGACTACGCTTGCGGCTCTTGGGTTTGCTCCCTCTACTGCTGACCCGTCGTTGTTTCTGTGCACCGACACCTCTCTGCCGCCGTTCTACATCCTCGTGTACGTCGACGACTTGGTCTTTGCCACAGCTGACACTGCTGGACTCGCCTACGTGAAGTCCGAGCTGCAGAAGAGACACACGTGCACAGACCTGGGTGAACTGCGTAGCTACCTTGGCTTGCAGATCACCCGGGACAGAGCACGCCACACCATTACCTTGACTCAGTCACACATGGTGCAGCAGGTCCTTCAGCGCTTCGGCTTCACGTACTCCTCGCCTCAGGCCACTCCTCTGGCTACTCGCCACTCGCTCTCAGCTCTGCCTTCGGATGAGTCCGTAGAGTCGAGTGGCCCGTACCCGGAGCTTGTTGGCTGCCTCATGTACCTGATGACCTGCACACGACCTGACCTTGCATACCCTCTTAGCATTCTTGCACGCTATGTTGCTCCTGGGAGACACCGACCAGAGCACATGGCTGCAGCGAAGAGGGTGTTGCGCTACTTGTGCAGTACGTCGGGCATGGGGCTAGTGCTTGGAGGGCGGAGTCCAGTGGTCCTCACTGGTCACGTGGACGCTTCTTGGGCTGACGACCAGGCTACGCAGCGGTCGTCGCAGGGGTACACCTTCAGTCTTGGTTCTGGCTTTGTCTCGTGGTGGGCTACTCGCTCGTCTTCTGTTCCCGGCTCGAGTTGTGAGGCTGAGATCTACGCCGGGGCCATGGCTGCACAGAAGCTTCGCTGGCTCACCTACCTGCTGACTGACCTTGGAGAGGTGCCTCGTTCTCCTCCAGTGCTGTACGTAGACAACAAGGCCATGCTGGCCTTGTGTCGAGAGCAGCGCTTGGAGCACAGAACGAAGCACATTGCTCTCCGTTACTTCCTTGCTCGTGAGCTGCAGCAGCGTGGCCAGTTGCGACTTGCGTACGTGGCCTCTGAGGCCAACACTGCTGATGTTTTCACCAAGGCACTTCCGCCTTGTGATCATCAGCACTTCTGCACTCAGCTGGGACTTGTACCTGTCCTACCTCACTTACTCACCTCTTGACCTTGCTTGTACTCTTGCATATATATATACTTGCTCTTGCTTGTTTAGCCTCATATATATATATATATGTGTCGTCTTGCATGTGAACTGGCCTTGTGGCCTTGACCTTGTGCTCGGACTGTGTGGTGACTTTGTGATCCACCCTGAGCTTTGCTTTGCTTTGCTTGACTGGTCTTGTGACCCCTTGTTCTCCCCCACTTTGCCTATGGGGGTGTGTCAGAACTTATAGCTCATGCTTTTGTGTAGGCTATAGTGGGGTATCCCATAGGGGGTACAACACAATTAGGATTGGTACTTGTACTCACACATTTCATAGTTCATTCATTTCGCGTTCTTCATTTCACAGATTCGCCCTGACACAGAAATTCGCCATGTCAGAGAATGTCTCCCGAAAATCCCCTTAGTCTAGTATGTTTCAGTATCAGATGAAGCATTGAATACATTTCTGATGAAACATTAGATACACTGATGTTTCATACTTTTTTTATTAAGGCACTCTGAAATTTCAGCCTTTTTTTATACCAACTCTGAGGGTTTCAGACTAAAATTTTGTACTATTCTGATGAATCAGACAGGCAAAAAACGAATCTGAGGGCTTGCTGATTACAGCAATGTTTGTAGCGCTTGACCATGAAACATCAAATGAAGTGACACCCACGACCAGGAGTGCCCAATCAGAGGAATAGACTGTATCATCTGCACGTGATGGAAACAATCAGCTCACACAGTCGCAAGCGACACTGGGGCAGCTTGGTTTGACTTGCCATGCATGACATCAGATCAGATCAGATCAGATGAAATCAGATCAGATCAGATCAAATCATATCAGATAAGATTAGAATGGGTGCAATAGGTGTCACTGCCCCTGGTGTGTGGAGGAGCTGGACTCAGCATGCGTGTTCTCAGCTGGGAGGAGGGAATGCCACAAAGGAGGAATGGATAGATGGGTTGGGAGGGGAGAATGGTTAAGGCCTGGTGGGCATGGTGAGAAGCGGAGACATGGCACCAAGGGTTACAGCTAGAGCAGAATTGAGGAGAATTGCGCGCACGGACACACATGCCCGAGGCTTACCTTGAGCGGTACACGCATTGGCGCGTGAATCCGCAGCAGAAAACGGACTGGTCCAGCCGGACCGGATGGCACCAGAGGCAGCTGTCACTCCGTAACAAGTCACTGCGCCTGTCGTACCAGTGGCAGTGCCGCTGTTATCGCGCGATGAAGTGCTGCTAAAAGTGCGGCCTGCAGTCCTGCTGGTGGTGCGGGCGGCAATGGTGTCTGCTGCACGGGTGGCACTGGTGCTGTTGGTGCGGGCGCGAGGGGGAATGGAGCGAGTGGTGTGGGCGGCAGTTGTGCCGGTAATGCGGGCGGCAGTTGTGCCAGTAATGCGGGTGGCAGTTGTGCCAGTAATGCGGGCAGCAGTTGTGCCAGTAATTCGGGCAGCAGTGGTGCACGCTCCAATGGTTCTGTTAGTGCTGACGCCTGTGGTGCGGGTGGCCGTGTTCATTGTGATGCGGTTTGCAGTGATGCCAGTAGTGTGAGGCACCAAAGCGGATCGGGTGGCTGCATGGGAAGCAGCTCGAGTGGCGGTGCGAGGCGTAGTTACGGATGTAACGCGAGTGGCAGCAGCAGATGCAACACGTTGAGAGGAAAGGTGAGAAACATGGGCTGCAGCACGGGGCTGGAACATGGAAGCATGCGCACAAGCGGGAAATCGAGCATGAGAACACAGGACATAGAGAGTTACGAGCTGTGGGGTTTTTTTGGCAACAGGTGTGGGGCAAAAAAGGAAAACACAACACACGAGAATATTGCAGTTGCAAAGCTCATTCCAAATTTGTATTAACTGGAAATTCAAGAGTGCGACTGCCGTGGGAGGACAAGGCGGCAACAGCATAACCCGCTTCTCTGGCACCATGGTGAAAAACTTCACAGACATCCAAATCCCATCCATCACAGCCTCTCCCACTTTCTCTCTCCTCTACCGTCCCTCCCTCCCTGCCAGCCTTCTCTCCCACTTTCTGCCCTGCTCGCCCCTCTCCCTGCCAGCTTGTAGCCCCCCCCTCACAGCTGACCTCCCTCCCCCTTCCAACCTTTCCCCCACTGTCTCTCTGCTCTTTCCTCTCTCTCTGCCACCTTCCCCGCTCTCTCTGCCACTTCCCTTCCCCCCCTCTCTCTGCCACCTACCCCCTCTCCCTCTGCCACCTCCCCCCATCTACTCTCCCAACCTTCCCCACCTCCTCTGCCAAACTTACTAATTCCTTCCCGCCAACCTCCTGCTCTCTCCCAACCTCCTGCTCTCTCCCAACCTCCCCCACTCCCTCAGCGAAACTCCCCCCCACTCTGCCAACCTTTACTCATGCAATCTACCATACAACCGTTATCATATGTCTTCTCCCAACCGCTTTGCTGGCATTCCCCCCCTCCCTACCCACGATCTCCTCTCTGCCCACCTTGTCCCCTCCCCTCTGCCAACCTACCCATCCGAACCACTGCAAAGGTCCATCATTCCTCCTTCCCTCCCCCCTCCCCACCCCAATCTCTACCAACCTTCTTACTCCCTCGCTGCCAACGTTCCCCTCTCCCTGTCAACCTCTTCCCCTCTCTCTCTACCAACCACCCCCATCCGTCCCAACCCCCTCTCCCCTCTCTGCCTGCATGCCCTCCCCCATCCCTGCCTAGCTTCCCTCAAACCCCTCTGCCATCCTATTCCCGCATCTCCCGACTCCCGACCCTGCCAACCTCCCTTCCTCCCCATCCATTGGGGATGGTGGTTACCTAAAGAGGCGGCAGCATGCCGGACAGTTGGTGCAGCGGCGTGATGGGCACGAGAGGACGCCGCATGAGGACCCGGACAAAGAAGATTGGGAAGGGAAGAGAGAAAGAAAGGGAAGGGAAAACGAAAAGTAAAGAACCGGATGAGTTCTGATATTGTCAGCAAGAGTGACCTGCATGACTTGCATTCCTTACAATGGAAAATGCGTATCTGGGTAGATTAATCTGAACGCATCTGGGTAGATGAAATCTAGCAACGCAATACCTTTATGAAAGCAACACTTGCAGAAACCAGGAGGTTGGACTCACATCATTGGCATGGTAACTGATGCCTTCCTCCTCATGATCCCCATCCTCCATGCTTTGCAGCCCCCCCTCCTCCCTCTCTTTGTCAACGGCCCTTTCCTCCTCTGCCACCACCGGTCCTGCTGCATCTGCTCTCGCTCTATCGATGTGATACCCGCTTTCAGCTGAGTAAGAATGTCCCTGCAAGAGGATTAACGGCCAGGCACACAGGACGTGGTTCACACCCGATAAGGGTTTGATCTCTGGCGTCATGTAAAATGTTCTTACTTACTCTAAAGTGTTCCACCTTTAGAAAGTATGATACCAACAGAGAGAACAAGACTCGACGTTTAAGTCGGAAGGGTTGCGTATAGTTGTGTCCCTTATGTAAGAAACGTTATGGTACTTCTATAAGTATCTACTATAGCGGGTTTTATGTTTGCAACTACTGTACCGTATCTGATGTGTCAGCAAGTGGCCAAGTTTTGTATGTACTGTATATAGGATTTGGTGCCTCCTTCTGCGCTGGCAGAAATTTCTTGCCAACTCCACCACGACCCCAACCAAGCCCAACCAAGCCCAAGATATATGTCCCTTTCACAGCTGTCAAACTTGAATTCGAGGCTTTTCATTTCTTGGTTCTTGTTCTTGGTTCCTCTCGAGAAGCACCTTTGCTCACTCCATTTCCTCCCCGCCCCAATTTCTTCTCTAGCCATTTCTCCTAACACCCTGTCGTCGCTACCTCCCACCTAGCCGTCGCTCTCCCTCCCATTCCCCGTATCCTCTCCCTCACTCTCCGCCATCACCTCTCCCTCCCACTCCGCCATCGCCTCTTCCTCCCACCTCACAATCACTCCGTCCCACCCCGCCATCTCCTCTCCCTTACCTCCCCACCGTTGCCTCTCCCTCCTCCGCGCCGTCGCCTCTCCCTCCTCCGCGCCGTCGCCTCTCCCTCCTCCGCGCCGTCGCCTCTCCCTCCTCCGCGCCGTCGCCTCTCCCTCCTCCGCGGCGTCGCCTCTCCCTCCTCTGCGCAGTCGCCTCTCCCTCCTCCGCGCCGTCGCCTCTCCCTCCTCCCCGCCGTCGCCCTCCCTCCTCCCCGCCGTTGCCTCTCCCTCCTCCCCGCCGTCGCCCTCCCTCCTCCCCGCCGTCGCGCCCGGGGCGCAAGCGCGGATTGGTGCGCAAGCGCAGATTGGTGCGCAATCGCGGGTTGGTGCTTAAGCGCGGGTTGGTGCGCGAGCGAGGATTGTTTTCTGGGGCACCATGGTTATGAGGTGCGTTCCCGGTCATTTCATCCTCCCTACCCCTTCTGAAAATTCCTTCTTGTTGTTTTTTTTGCTCTCTTCCTAAATTTTGTGTGTCAATTGGTCTCCTCTTGTATGGCACTTTCATTTGAAGAAGGGGAGAGACGGAGCACGCGAGAGAGAGCGTGAGGGTGCGCATGAGAGAGCGCGTCAGAGAGCGCGTGAGAGAGAGAATGCGCGTGAGAGTGCGAGAGAGAGAGCGCGAGAGAGTGTGCTTGAGAGTGGGCATGAGGGTGCTCGTGAGAGAGCGCGTGAGAGAGCGCGGGAGTGAGTGCGTGAGAGAGAGCGCGTGAGAGAGTGCGTGAGAGTGTGCGTGAGAGTGCGTGTGAGAGTGCGCGTGAGAGAGTGCGTGAGAGAGCGCGTCAGAGAGCGCATGAGAGGGCACGTGAGTGAGTGCGTGAGAGAGAGCACATGAGAGAGCGCGTGAGAGTGCGAATGTGAGAGCGAGTGGGAGAGTGCGTGAGAGAGCGTTTGAGAGCGCATGAGAGGGCGCGTGAGTGAGTGCGTGAGTGAGTGCGTGAGAGAGAGCACGTGAGAGATTGCGTGAGAGTGCGAGAGAGAGAGAGCGCGTGAGAGAGCGCGTGAGAGAGGGCGTGAGAGAGCGCGTGAGAGAACGCGTGAGAGAGCGTGTGACGGTGCGCATGAGAGAGTGCGTGAGAGAGCGCGTGAGAAAGAGAATGCGCGTGATGTTGGTGCAACCCTATGGTTTGCACTCGGCTTGTTGTCCGTGTGCGTGCATGTCTGTGTGTGTATGGAATGGTATGAGGGCATGGGATAATATATATTTCATGCTTATAATTGTGTGTGAATGTTGAGTCATGATGTCGAGTGTGTGTGTTGAGTCAATAGCGAGTTATCGCTAGACGCGTGTTACGCGGTCGTTTGTGTCTCGCGCGCGGTTTCTATTTTGTCGTGCGCGGTTTCTATTTTGTCCTGTGTCGAACGTTCGGTGTGTCGCAGGTGTGTGCAGCAGACCCATCAAGAACTCAAGGACGAGTTTGTGATGAAGAGCCCGAGCCTTGGTGTCAAGCCTCAGGTGATTTCAAAGCTCGCCAAAAGGGTACACCTCAAGATATTGAAGATAGTTACATTACTTTGTGTAGTGTAACATTTCACTTGGTGTAGGCCCTAGTGAAGGGTAGTTTCGAGACCCTTCGTGGTTGGGGACAGTGTGGCACTGTTCCACATCACTGTACCTCGGCTCTTGGGGTTTGTAGGAGCTGGGAGTCATTCCCAACTCGTAACTCTTCAGATCTCTTCCTATTTTGTGTTCTAAGACTATAGTGGCTGCCATAGTGCCGTTCGTTCAAACCAACGCTGTGTCGTCAATACTTGGTCAAATCGTGCGATCTAAATTGCCTATTGTAGGCGACAATAAGACGCTCCAGATCCAAGTTGAATCAAGTCATTTGAAGCTGTGACCAGAACGCTATGAATGTTTGAAGCCGCTGTGCAGAAATCCGACTGTGCACTCTATCTTTCGTTTTAGGCACATTGGAGCCTACTGTGACTATAACACGTGAGAGTGCGAGAGAGTGAGCGCAAGAGGTAGTGCGTAAGAGTGTGCCTGAGAGTGCGCATGAGGTTGTGCGTGAGAGAGCGCATGAGAGTGTGCGAGAGAGTGTGCATGAGAGAGCGCGTGAGAGAGAGAATGCGCAAGAGAGTGCGCGAGAGGGAGTGCGTCGGAATGCGTGAGAGCCCGTGAGAGAGCGCATGAGAGATTGCGTGAGAGAGCATGTGAGAGAGCGCGTGAGAGTGCGCATGCGAGAGCGCATAAGAGTGCGTGAGGGAGCATGCGAGAGAGCGCGTGAGAGTGCGTGAGAGAGCGCGTGAGGGAGCGTGTGAGAGAGGGTGGGAGTGCATGTGAAAGTGCGCGTGAGAGAGCGCATGAGAGAGTGTGTGAGAGAGCGCGTGAGGGAGCGCGTGAGAGAGCGAGTGCGCGTGAGAGTGCGCATGAGAGAGCGCGAGAGAGAGCGCATGAGAGAGCGCGTGAGAGAGCACGTGTCAGAGAGCGCGTGAGAGAGTGCGTGAGAGAGTGCGTGAGAGAGCGCGTGAGAGAGCGCGTGAGGGAGCGCGTGAGAGAGCGAGTGCTCGTGAGAGTGCGCGTGAGAGAGCGCGTGAGAGAGCGCGTGAGAGAGCGCGTGAGAGAGCGCGTGAGGGAGTGCGTCAGAGAGCGCGTAAGAGAGCGCGTGGGAGTGCGCGTAAGAGGGCGCGTGGGAGTGCGCGAGAAAGAGCGTGTGACAGAGGGAATGCGCAAGAGAGTGCGCGAGAGAGAGCACGTGAGGGAGTGCGTGAGAGCCCGTGAGAGAGCGCTTGAGAGAGCGCGTGAGAGAGTGCGTGAGAAAGTACGTGAGAGAGCACGTGAGGGAGCGCGTGTCAGAGCAAAGTGATTGTTCTTGCTTTATCCACTGCGGTGGTAAGGATATTTTGCAACAGAGTTGTTTTTCACATTGCTGTGGTTGTAAGATCTATTGAAGAAATTTCTCCTTTGGAGAAAATCTCGGTTATTCACTGCGGTGATAACAATTTGCAATAGATCTGTAACTCTCTTTTTATAATACAGTGACTTTGCTCTCAATGGCGTCTACCAACTCCAATGCTGGTGGTGTTGAAGGCAACAACTCCAATGCTGAGCTGGAAGCTTGTGTGCAGAAAATTGACCTGAACAACATGGATGAGGAAATGGCTGAGAAGGAACCTGCTGTTGACTCCCCTGCAAGGGACCCTCCAGCTGCTGAAAATTCCAAGGAGAAGGAAGGGGAGTCTCAGGAGGATGACATTGAGTTGGAAGGGGAGGAGGACATTCTGCATGCTGAAATTGCTAAGCTGCAGGATCATGCTGTTGAGCAGGATACGCGCATCCAGCAGCAGCAGTCACTCATCACCAACCTCACGAGGGAGCTCTCTGACCAGGACGACAAAATCAAGTACCTGGAAGTTGAGCTTAAAAACATGAAGCATGATGCGCACGAGCACGTTCATCAGCTGGCGAGGCAGACCTCAAAAATCAACGAGCTGCGCGAGGCCTTCAGTGCCCTACGAAGGGAGACCATGTATCGCCCTGCACCACGAGCGGACCCGCCTGCCAACTCTGCTAGCGGTCGCACCAACCCTTCTCGCTTTGGTGGTGCAGTGGGTGACCCTGGTCCTTCTACGCAGCGCGCTGGTGAGCCGAGCACGCAGGCTTTTGGCTCTCTGCCAATCACTCTGCCGCCATTCATCCATGGCAAGACGGACGTGGCTGCGTGGTTGTCGATGATGACCGACCTGTTCATGGCGCACAAGGTCCAAGACGACGCTCGCGTCGTCGCTGCCACCACCGTGCTGGACCAGAATGCACAGCGAGTGGTGTATGGCAGCAAGATCCAGGCTAAGGCAGATAGGAAGCCGTTTGGGTGGGAGGACTTTGCATCTGCACTCAAGCAAGCTTTCCAGGTCCAGCCGACTCAGCTGGAGGTGCGCAGCCGCCTTGAGAAGCTGCAGTGCGGGAGCCGCACAGTGCAGCAGTACGCCATGGAGTTTGAGGAAATCTGGGTGCTCCAGAAACCGGCGGAACGCATGAGCGAAGGCGAAAAGATCCATCTGTTCTTCAGGGGGCTGCCTGAGCACCTCAGGAACATGCATATGACGGAATGGGCTGGGGAGGCATGGAGGTCCTATGATCACGTGAAGCGTGTGGTGGGGACCACTGAAAAGCACTTCCGCGCTTATGCCAAAACCACTACCCAGCCGCAGCAGGCCTCAAGGCCGTCTTCTAGCACTGCGGGTCCAAGTGGAAGGCAGCAGGGAACGCCTTGGAAGGGCGGGAACCACAAGAGGCCCTTCCAGCAGGGGCAGCAGGCTGACCACAAGGCCAAGAAGGTTAACGAGGGTGGACCAAGCAATGTCCAGAGCTGCTTCAAGTGCGGCAAGCCTGGACACAAGGGCTACGAGTGCCGCCACCGCAAGTCGGTGAAGTACTCTGGCAAGGCTAAGACGGACAACAGGCGCAATGACGGCAGTGGCCCCTCGGGCAGCCAGCGGGATTTTGCAAAGCCCAACTAGGGGGTGGGTACCTAGCGGGCATAGTAGATCGAGAGGATGAGGCAGTGGTCCTGCGGGATGAGGAGTTATTGAAACTCGAGTGCCTTGTTGATTGCAAAATTGCATGTGTGTATGCATCTTCTTTTAATGAAAGCTCTTTGTTTGCCTCTCGATTTCACCCACTGGAAAATATCACAGTGGAATCATTACGAGATGAATTCTCACATATATTTTGTGATCACCATAATTTGCCTTGGATAATGGATGTGGTGGGTCGTTGCACCCAAGCGCACCCTCTAACTGCGGTTGGAATGGTAACGCACACAATTCGAGGTAAATTATTTCGTGCGCTTCAAAAATGTAGTGTGTTAGCGCAGTGGGATAAAGGACACCACATGTGGTGGACACAAGCTCGTTCTTTTGGACGTAGCAAGTACGGCATTAAGGCATATTATTTGCCTCCCACTGACATCACGGCATGTCCTATTCGACCTAAATATCAGCAAAATCTTTTGTTTTCTGGTCGTGTAAACGGGCGCAGTGCCTCGATCCTGGTTGATACAGGAGCGACTGCGTCATTAATCGATGAGAAATGGATGGGGTATTTCAATGTGCCTGTTCAAGGACCATCTTGCTCTATCCGTCTGGGGGATGACAGGGTCATCCCAATGCAGAGGACATGCTTTGGTCAACCTAGATATCCAAAGATATCAGGAGACCATCAGCGTTTTTGTCTTACCCCTCCTAGCAGGCGTAGACATGGTCTTGGGAATGGATTGGCTGCGGCCTAATGAGGTGATATTAAATTTCCAAGATAACACACTTTCATTCACAAAGAATGGGACGGCATTTCAATGGCAAGTCCCAAAGCGCCATGCACTGGATGACAAACCTCAAACCCTGGCTCTTGATGAGAAGAAACGAGAATGAATGAACTATGAATGAAGTGGGTACAAGTACTAACCCTAATTGGGTTGTACCCCCTATGGGATACCCCACTACAGCCTACACAAAAGTATAAGCTATAATAATCTGACACACCCCCATAGGCAAAGTGGGGGAGAACAAGGGGTCACAAGACCAGTCAAGCAAAGCAAGCTCAGGGTGGATCACAACGTCACCACACATTCTGAGCACAAGTTCAAGGCCACAAGGCCAGTTCACATGCAGGAGTACATATATATATATATATATATATATATATAAGGCTAGACAAGCAAGAGCAGGTACATATATATGTAACAGTACAAGCAAGGTCAAGGGGTGAGCAAGTGAGGCAAGACAGGGACAAGACCCAGCTGAGTGCAGAAGCGCTGATGATCACAAGGCGGAAGTGCCTTCGTGAAAACATCAGCAGTGTTGGCCTCAGAGGCCACGTACGCAAGCCGCAACTGACCACGCTGCTGTAGCTCACGAGCAAGGAAGTAGCGAAGAGCAATGTGCTTTGTTCTGTGCTCCAGTCTCTGCTCTCGACACAAGGCCAGCATGGCCTTGTTGTCTACGTACAAGACTGGAGAAGAACGAGGCGGCTCTCCAAGGTCGGTTAGCACATAGGTGAGCCAGCGAAGCTCCTGGGCAGCCATGGCCCCAGCGTAGATCTCAGCCTCACAACTGGAGCCGAGAACAGAAGACGAGCGAGTAGCCCACCACGAAACAGAGCCGGAACCAAGGCTGAAGGTGTAACCCTGTGACGACCGCTGCGTAGCCTGGTCGTCAGCCCAAGAAGCGTCCGCGTGCCCAGTGAGGACCACTAGACTCCGCCCTCCAAGCACTAGCCCCATGCCCGACGTACTGCACAAGTAGCGCAACACCCTCTTCGCTGCAGCCATGTGCTTTGGCCGGTGTCTCGCAGGAGCAACATAGCGTGCAAGAATGCAAAGAGGGTATGCAAGGTCAGGTCGTGTGCAGGTCATCAGGTACATGAGGCAGCCAATAAGCTCTAGATACGGGCCACTCGAATCTACGGACTCATCCGAAGGCAGAGCTGAGAGTGAGTGGTGAGTAGGCACAGGAGTGGCCTGAGGCGAGGAGTACGTGAAGCCGAAGCGCTGAAGGACCTGCTACACCATGTGTGACTGAGTCAGGGTAATGGTGCGGCGTGCTCAGTCCCGGGTGATCTGCAAGCCAAGGTAGCTGCGCAGTTCACCCAGGTCTGTGCACGTGTGTCTCTTCTGCAGCTTGGACTTCACGTGGGCGAGTCCAGCAGTGTCAGCTGTGGCAAAGACCAAGTCGTCGACGTACACGAGGATGTAGAACGGCGGCAGAGAGGTGTCGGTGCGTAGAAACAGCGACGGGTTGGCAGTAGAAGGAGCAAACCCAAGAGCCGCAAGTGTAGTCCTCAGTGTGTCGTGCCACTCACGTGGCGCCTGGCGGAGACCGTAGACTGGACGCCGGAGACTCCACTGGGTACCAGGAGGGAAAGACCTTGTGAAGCCAGGTGGGCGGTGCAGCCAGATCTCCTCGTGCAGGCTGCCCTGCAAGAAAGCATTGCTGAAGTCGAGAGAGTGCAGCTCGTAGTCACGGTGAGCAGCAACGTGCAGCAGTACCCGAAGAGTGGTCATCTTCAGGGTGGGGAGAAGGTCGGAAAGTAGTCAACTCCCTGCCACTGACTGAAGCCACGAGCCACGTAACGCGCCTTGAAGACAGGCGGAGAACCCGGCGGCCGCTTCACCCTGAAGATCCACATGCCACTGACGATGTTCGCCCCAGGAGGGGGGACAGCGTCAACGTAGGTGCCTGTGGACTTCCAGGAAGCCATCTCTGCATCCATAGCTGCCTGCCACTGAGAGGAGTAGGGACCCTCTATCGCCTCCGCTTAAGAGCGCGGAGTCGGGATGTCAAGTGCATCCGGGTCTCCCTCAGGGGTAAGCAGTACGGACACGAGATGAGGTGAAGCAGCTGCCAGACACTGGAACTCCTCCTGCCTGTCCTCAAGGACGTCCGTGCCAAGGGCACACTCACCCCCGACGGACGGAGGACAGACAGACTCAGACTGTGCGACAAGACTAGCAGCGTAGTCTAGGCGGCAGCGAGCAGCAAAGTCGACGAGCTCAGCAACTAGGGCAGACGCAGCAGTGGACTCAAAAGAAGGGTCAATGACGACAGTAGCAAGGAGACGCGTGACAGTAGGACTGGCAGCACGAAGAGAGTCCGACTCCGGGTCGGCAAGAGCAGGAAGAGAGGACTCAGGAGGAGAAGGCAAAGGGGCATGCAGAGGAGCAGTAGACGGACGCAGAGACATCATGTGTGTGCCAGGGACAGGAGGAGGACGTGGACGCGAACCACGACCACTAGCGCGTGCAGGACTGACAGGCGACGTAGGTCGAGACGCAGGCTCACGACGCTCAGTAAGACCTCCAGTAGGACCAGCGTAGGGAGAAGGAGCTGGCAAAGGGGAGGTAGGCTGTAGCTGTGACTGTGACGGGACAGGTTGTGGACCCTCCAAGGGAGGAGGAGGACCAGTAGAAGGTGGAAGACCAAGAACCTGCTACAGGAGTGGAACGAAGTACGGTCGAGGCCGCGTAGCGACGCCAGAAACAGCAGGGACAGCACTAGTACCCCCAGCAGGAGCACCCGCTCCAGCAGCACCTCCAGTAGCTCCTGAACCTCCAGCAACACCAGGAGCACCCCCAGCAGGACCGCCAATGGTAGTCTCAGCGCCAACACTCTCAGCAGCACCAGCTCCTATCGAACCTGCAGGCCCAGCAGCTCCAGTACTCCCAGTACGAGCACCTCCGAGACCCGCGACATCAGCACCCTCAGTAGCCTAAGAACCTCCAGCACCAGCAGCACGGCTCCAGCGCCGGGCAAACCACTCGCGCAGCTCCTGTGGCTCCCGGCGAGACGAAGCACGCGGAGAACCTCCAGGCGGAGTACCTCCATGCTCAGCACCCCCAGGCCCAGCACCCCCAGGCAAAGCACCCCCAGGCGTAGCACCCCCACGCTCAGCACCCCCAGGCTCAGCACCCCCAGGCTCAGCACCCCCAGGCTTAGCACCCCCAGGCGTAGCACCCCCAGACTCAGAACCCCCAGGCTCAGCACTCCCAGGCCCAGCACCCCCAGGCTGAGCACCCCCACGCTCAGCACCTCCAGTCTCAGCACCCCCAGGCTCAGTACCCTCAGCAGCACCAGAGTCACCAGTGACCTCGACAGGCTCGACTGCGTCTACCTGGGACACACCTGAAGGGGCAGGACCCTGAGGGGGGAGGGGGTCTACCGGGGGGGGGGACCTGGTATAAGGAAGAGCGGGGGCGGGGGGAGGAACGGAGTGCGGTAGGGGAAGAGGCGGTAGTAGGGGACCGGCTGGGAGGACAGAACACGGCGAGAGGTGGGTTGGTAGAACTGCCACCCAGGCGCGTTAGGGGGGAACCCCAGGAAGACGCAAGGAGCAGCACGAGGGGACAGCTTGTCCGCAGACAAGTCGCGGACAAACGCCCGAGATCCCCAGACCCGGAACGCCGACGCATCGCCAACCTTCCTCGTCCACAGCAAGGCTGGGGAGGTCTCCGGCCTGGAGACCCTGGGGTGAAGGTTGATCTGATGCGCCGCGTACCAGACCGCAGACGGCCACAGAAAATGGGGGGCAGCCGCATGCATCATAGACGTACGAGCGACGTCCATGACCATGCCAATGCGGCGCTCAGCAATCCCATTTTGCTGCGAAGGTCTGACGAATGCCTCGTGCACGACAGTAGGCTCGCAGAAGGCCAGAGGAGAACTCTCCGCCTCTGTCCGAGTGCAGACGCAGGACAGGAAAGTCCGAGCCAAAGCTCTGCCTGAGCTGGAGACGAGCTGCGCGGATCCAGTCGATCAGCACCTCAGTGACATCACCCTTGCTGCTCAAGGGGAAGACTGCGGTGTAACGCGAGTAGTCGTCAACAACGAGCAGGAAGTAGCGCTCGTGACCCTGCCCACGGACGCGGGCTGGGCCCCACACGTCCATGTGAAGCGTCTGCAACGGGGCCTCTGTCGGAGGAAACTGGGAGGAGTGAGGGGCAGCACGCTGGCGCCCCTCGACACAG